GCGACGTCCCTCAGCGGAGCCAACTTCTAAAAGTTCCGATTTTGTGCTTTGCTGCTCTGTCACTTGCCAGAAGCGGCTGATGGAGGCCCCCTCCCCCACTATCTATCCTCCCGAATATCACCTTGGATTCACTTCTCCGCACGTCCTACCTTCCAGTAAGTGGTTGCTTTTCTGTTCAGAGAGTTGTTGCTATTCTTTTCTTTGATCTCCTATTGAGTTGGTAGGTGTTCAGAATGGTTTGATCCCTATTCAGCTGAATTCCTGAGACCAGACGAAATCCATGTCTCCTACTCCTCCGCCATCTTGTTCTGTCCCCAAGATCTAGTTACTCCTAAGCCTCCCTCCCACGCACTCCAATTTTGGATTCACATTGACTGAGTTTGGTCATGTAATTTCATAGCAGCCTGTGAATTAGAAGTCGCAAGGCAGGTGGAGTGATGGGAACCACTAGAAGCCAGCAGCGTACAGGGTTCCCAGAGCCCAAAGGAGCACTCCCTAGTCATGGCGCCCAGCTCAGGCTGATGACTGGTTCTGCTCCAGGAAGTGGGGCATCAGAGCAGCTCCTCTGTACTCATCACAAACAAAGAGCTATGCCTTCTTCTCATGTCTTGGTTCTTTCCTAAACCCCTCTCTTGGCTTATTTTTCCAGTCAAACTTTTTATTTTCGTTAACATTTTCCACATCTGCACACATGACCCATAGTATTTTTGTGTGCAACTCAGAAGAATAGGGACATTCTCCTACATAACTATAATACCATGCAATACCCGGGAGAAATCAGAACTTTGAATATCATCAAAATACCAGAAAATTTAAATTCCTCTGTTGTCCCCAAAATGTCTTTTGCAGCTATGGGGGGTTTGCTGTTTTTGTTTTAATACAGGCTCTAGTCACTGTTCATGTATCACATCTGGTGTTGTAGGTTTCTCTTTTATTTTGCTAGGGCTGCCATGAGAAATTACCACAATGGGGAGGGGGCTTAAAACAACAGAAATTCATTCTCTCACAGCTGTGGAGGCTGGAGGTCTGCTGCGTGGTAGGGGACGTAGATCCCTTGCCTCTTCAGCTGCTGGTGGCACCGGGCATCCCTTGGATTATGGTTACATCACTCCAGTCTCTGCAAAGAGCCTTTTCCAAAGAAGGCCACCTTCACAGATTCCGTGGATGTACCTTTTGGGGGCTACTATTCACCCCACCACAGCCTCTTTAGCTTTCTTTTTAATCTGTGACAGTTTCTCTACCTTGTTTGTTTTTCATGACATTGAATTTTTTGAAGAGTCCTAGAGTATATCCCACATTTGTTTCCTCATGATTAGACTCCAGTTCCCATTCTTTGGCATGCATAGGTGTTATGTGTATTATGCCCCATCAGGGGGTACTTAATGTCAGGCTGTCCCACTGTTGATACTAAGTTTGATTACTTGGCTAAAGTGACCATTATCAGATGTCTGTTGTAAAATTGCATATTTCCTTTTGTAATTAACAGGTAATATGTAGGAGGAGATTGTGCATGTCTGTGTCCCCAATAATTTTATCAGTTGCCCAAATTAATTACTGCCCTAATCATTTTCTAATTCTGTCATTTCTTCCACATGCCGTGTGTGGCTTTCATTTATAAGAAGGAGCTTTCTCTTTTCCCTGTTCTTTCAGACTTTATTTTTGAATGCCCAGGATTTCTTAGACTTCGGAAGTTTTCATCTTTCTGCTTGAGAGGCATTTTTGTAAAACGATTTTATTTTTCCCTCTGAATACACTATCATCATTATGATTATTATTCTAGGTAACATTTTGAACCCTCACTTTATGCTAGCCACTGTGCCAACACCTCTACCTTCACTTACTACCCCCAACTTTCATAATAAGAAGATTGGAACACAAGGCGTCGTCATGTGGTCTTGACACTGATAAGACTTGAACTTGAGTCTGTCTCATGCCAGTGTTCATGCTTTTACCTTCTAACGCTACAACCACCATCATCATCAGTCATCTGAAACCACCCCTGCTTTCCAGCTGTGTAATGTTCCAGGGTTCCAGATGCGCATTAGAGATGTGTGCCTGGTCAAAAATGATAGTATTTGAAAGCTAGAAAAGATCTCAATTTTCCCTTGTTCCTCATTTTCTAATTTTGAAAACTGAGGCTCAGAGATATTAGTAACTTGCTTGAAGTCACACAACCATGAGCGGCAGAACCGGGCAGGAAACAAAACTCCTGAATTCAAGTTCATTCCAGTACATGGTTTCCTTCCACTACACCACATGTCAAAAAGTTGAGGATTGTATGTTGGGGTATTTACTTAAATTTATACCCTTAACACAGTGAATTTGAGCTGACTTGCCAAATCCTTTAAATATAATTTCAGTAGGAAATATAATAATAAAAAGGAAACATGACCCTAGAAAATGTAGTCTGGGTGAAGGATTGCTGTTTTGTCCTTGGGCCTTCAGGGTTACTACTCATGCTCTCAAGTTGGCTCTGAGCTTGCTGAGCCTAAGGGAAATTAGCTACAGTACTGGTATGGCCAAAAAGGAAAATTCTGTCAATTCCTCAAAGGATAAAAAGCTTTTCTGCATTTTTGATTTTGCACTGGGGACAGCCACACGCTTACAGATGTAATTGTGTATTAGTAAAGGTATTTCTTATACCTGTAGTTACTATAAACCCCACATCTCAGAGGCTTAACAACAGAAGTTAATTTTTCATGTGAAATCCAAAAACTGGTGTCTCTGAATGGTGAACAGATCAACTCCCAAAGGTGCTTCAGGAGCCCAGGCTTCTTCCTTGTGTCTCCATGGTCTTCACCACATGGCTTTCAAGGTCATTTTCAAAAAGGAATAAGTACAGGCTTGGTACATGGCAGGGTTTTATGGGCCAGCCTGGCTGCTTGGGAGACTAAGAGACATGATCTAGCCGTGTGCCTAGAAAGAGAGGGAATGAGTTTGATAAACAGATAGCCACTCCCTGCCACAGACGTTGTGCCTCTGAAGGGTTCCCTGTGCAGTTCGAGAGTCCACGGGACAGAGTCCTTGCCCCAGGCTCTTGTGGGCACTGGCTTTTGACCTCCACAGATTGAATGAGTAGGGCAGACTGATCTCCAAATGGCTTGTATGGTTATGTGACTATTCCCCCAACCTGACTGAATTTCTTAAAAATAGTGATGATTCTTACTCATCTCTAGCACCAAGACTCAAGTCAGCTTGTACCTGGCCAGAGTAGCTCAGACATTTTGAATTACTTTGATTTGAAATCAATAACAAAATATCAGTCCCCATTATATACACTTCACATGTTTGACATAATTTCACATTCTCACTCTGGAAGAGTATAAGAAAAAAGGGAAGACCAAAATCACTTGTATTTGAATTTGGATTTCATTTGTGGGGTGAGGGTGAGATAAGATTGTTAGGATCTTGGCCACAGATTTGCTTTACTAATTGCGTTTTGTTGTGAGGGAAGAAAACAGTTTGGGTTTTAAAAATAGACCACAGGGCATATTGCAGATTACCCATATACAGATAATTGGGTATTTATGTCTCTTTGGAGAAGAGAAAATGTCAGTAATGAGGATTTTGATTTCAAGTGGTTATACATTTTCTTTCTTTTTCTTTGCAGTGTTGTATCGAAAAGGCCCTCCATTTTACCATGCAAGGTTTGGAGTGATTTTTAAATAAGTTAATGGCTTAAAGGGACAGGAGGAAATTTCTGACCTCCAGTGTAATTTTCAGTGCCACAGAAACTATTACAATCATGTTTCTCTTGACCTATTAGGAATAGATACTCTAAATCTGTGCCTTATACACTAACATTGTTGTACTATATGTAAAATAATAAATAGGTCATGGTTAACGTGTTGTAGTGTTACACATTGAGTTAATCTATGCAGTAATTGTTCATCGTCATATCACTGAGTGTTAGTATCTAAACAGTTGAGTGAATTCGTGGCTTTCTTATTGGGAGAAGTATTTCTGTTCTCTCCTTGTCAGTGTTGAGATGAGCCTGAAAGTTTGTAATGTAAAGTGAGTGTTTTTCATTAATACTTTTCCAATAACGTTGCAGAGGCATTCAGGATTAGATGATGTATGTGTTATTTTCTGTATCTTTGTTCTTGGTAGAACAAGCATTATTCTTTTTAAAGAGGTTGATTTCATGCCTTTTATTTTTACAATGCCCTCTATCTGTCTTCCAGTTACTCCGTCATTATTGAGTTAGTCGATGACCAGTTTGAGGGCTCTCTTCGCAGACCTTTCAGTTGGAGGTCACTGGCTGCCTTGAGCAGAGTTTCGGTTAATGTCTCCAAGGTAACAGCATCGGCTTTGGCATTCACGTGTCACTTAAAATGGTTGGATTTTTTTTTTTTTTCTTAAATGTAATGGAATCCTAAAAGTCATCTGTAGGAACTTCACACCTGCCAGCAAGGTTCTAAAAGATGGGGCTAGAAGCTGACCTCCTCTCACATTCCCTGCCATCACCCACTGGTGCTGAGCTCCAAGAACTGAGCTTCAAAGTTTCCTGTAGTGATTGATGTAGGTGGGCCTTGCCTTCCTTCCCAGGGGTGCTATCAGCACACGCTCAGAATTCACTCACATTCACAAGGGAGTCAAAACATTGATAAATTTCTTTTCAGAGCTAGCAGGTCTCTTGAGAGAGGAAGGATATTAATATTTATGGCTAAGCACTGTACATGTTTTCTCTCATCACCCTGTTGTTATTCTCATCCCTAAGGGTGAGGAATCAATCAGAGTCAGATGTTGAGTGGCAAAGCCAAGATCATGCAGCTTATATGCAGAACTGGGATTCAAACCCAGAGTCATCTGACTTCCTGGCTTGTGTTCTGCTGGATTCTGCTGCCATCAAGATAGGAGGGGAATTTCATCTTACACCAGGACTACTAAGGGTGAAAGCTTTGTCTGTTCTCTGTTATTCAATAGTTTGCTAACTGGACACAGATTGTGAACCCCCTCTGACTCTGTCCCAATGCTGCTGGAGGCGCAGTAGGGGGAGGAGGGCGCAAAAGGTCCAGCAGAGGCCAGGCGGCAAGTGCCTTGAGTACGGGTTAAGTTGCTTACGTGTGGCCTATAAAAAGTAGCTTTGTCTTTTAGAAATAGAGAGTCTATACTGTTTCTAGTATGTTTATACCCATCTTACGGGACTTGTAGCATATATTTAATATTTTAAATGCTGCGTGTATAATCCATATATTTGCTTTATTTGCATTCTCTTGCCATGTCAACAATGACTAAATGGCAGGTCCTTAGTCTAGATCTCGGGCCCAGTCACATTCCTAGGAGGAAACCAGTGTGCTTTGTGAGTTTCCAAGAGCACACTGTGGGAGGGAATGGAGCCTGCCTGCATTTCCTGCACCCAAATTTATATTATTATTGTGTGGGATGTGGATGTTTTTCTTCATTTCTCAATAGGAACTGATGCTATGCTATTTGATTAAACCCTCTACCATGACTGACAAAGAGATGGAGTCCCCAGAATGTATGAAACGAATTAAAGTTCAGGTAGGTAAACTCAGAGACAAACTCATGGTATCGCAAAGATTCTGTCCACCATACTGTGTCCTCTGGAATATGGGGTCCCAAGAAAAGAAATGAAAACCATCTTGCCTTGATAACAGGAAGCCCGCTCAGGCCCGCTCCCTGCTGAGCCCACTCTCACTCCCCCGTAATTCCTGCTGCCGCTTTATCTGCCATGTCATCTGGCTTCCGTCCCCACCATTCAGCTGACCCTGCTCTCACAGATGGCCTGGGAACTCCTGACCAGGCCTCTCCCAGGTCTCATTCCCAGAAACTAAAGTGGCGCTGCTAACTCACTCCCCCCTTGAACTTCTTGTCTGGCTTCTGGGGTTCTGGCTTCTGAGTCTTCCTGGCAGGTCTTTCTCTGGCAGGGCTGCCATCCTGTCACCCAGTATTAGTGGGTGACTATTTCTGCCCCTCGCCCCATCTGTGACTCCTCCCCCACATCCAGCACATCCCCCACATCCAGCACATCGTCGACTTTCTTTGTCTCCAAGTTGCACCCTTCCTCCTTTTTCGCACTGCTCCATCCCACCACAGCCTCCCCGGCCCCCACACCTCCTCCATGCAGTTTGCCCAGCTCGTGCCCCCTAGGTTAGCTGCTCATCGAATGCCAGCCCAGATCCACTTGGTATGCCAGCACCATCTGAGAGCTGGTTCTAATATGAAATGCTAGCTTTAGTCCTGGCACTCCTGTTCCTGAAATGTGGTAGTGGAATACCACTGCCAAGGCAAGTTTAGCTTTTAAGATCTTGGTGTGATTATGATAGATAGTATTTTCGTGGAAGGTGTGTACTGCTGCCTTCACCTTTCCCCCAGGTGTTTCAGTACAAGGAATGGGAACAGGTGTCATCATTATATAGAGTGTTCTTTGTGAAATGTTGCTGTGATCTCACACGCCTAGCATATTCTTTCATTTCCTTTTTTGAAATTCTTAGTCACCTTTTTCTTTTTATTGGCTACAGGAGGTGATTCTAAGCCGCTGGGTTTCTTCACGAGAGAGGAGTGACCAAGACGAACTTTAACAGTTCAACCTCAGTATTCTGATTTACCAACAAATACTATTGAGTGTCCTACAGTAAGCCAAGTTCAGTGGAGGTAAAGAGTCCTCTTATTATAACCGCCCAATAATTGAAAAGTTTTAAAGGGCATAGCAGTCCCAGCACCAAAAATCGGTTAGTATTTTACAAGATAAAATTACACAGGGGAGAAAAAAGAGCTCTGTGCTGGCCTTCAGATTCTGTCCTTGGGTCAGTCACTGACTCCCAACTGATGCTGAGCTTCTCTTCTGTGGGCCTGTGTCCTCATCCATTCAGTAAACAGGTCGGACTAGATGAGTCCCAAGAGGACTCTTCCAGCAACAGGGAAATTCTGTTACTCTCTGATTTTACCTGAAAATGACAGTAGTTTACATTTACGCGGCACAGTACTGTTTCCCAAACGCTTGTGTACACATGCGTCTTGTTACTCGCCTCCAGTCTGTTCTGAAAGAGTGCCGGAGAGGAGATTTGGGGATTGTAAGACCCTGTGTTCCATTATGTTAAACGGAACAAATAATGTGTCTCACCTTATCTAAGAACTTGAATCAATTACTCGAACGCTTAAAAATCCGTTTAATATCTGTCAAGGATTTACGAGTCATAAAGCCTTTAAAACCTAATCTCTAACTCTCGGTGAACTCACTGGTGGACATGTTTGTGTATAGTACACAGCAGTATTGTACAGTATTAGATAAAAATGGCATCGTGCTTCAGTGAACTTGTTATAAAATTTAAAAATGTAGTGAAATTATGGAGATACATAATGAATGCAATTAGCATGTGGCAAAACACAATAAACCTAGCCTTTTTCAAATTGGTTAGACAGTCTTCTCCTTAGCACTAAATACCCTGAAGTGGACGGTAAGAGCCGGAAGCTGCGAGATGATTAAGACGGGCATCTGTGTGCGTTCCTCTGACGCATGGTCCTGGAGCTCCCGGCAGCCCGGGATTCTGCTTGTGGTTGTGTTTGTTAACGCGGTGCTTCTGTTCACGGCATGATCCTGCTCTCTCACAACAGAACCATTATATCTGCACAGTCTACGTTTTAAAGATTTGGCATTCAAATGAGGGAGGTTGTCCTCCTTTTCCCCGCCTCAGACCAGTAATGACCATCAACTTGAAAGAGCTTCTTAGTATTAAGTCATTTTGCTCTTCATTAGTGATGCTAATAGTTCAACATTTTTACTATCTGCTTTGCTTTCTCCAGGCTCCTTAGCAAAGTAAAAGACTTGGCTTTGAAGCATCACTTTCTCAAAACCCTGAAAGTCAGCAAAAATTTCTGGAGCCATTTTTTTCCCTATTTCATTTGTCATTGGTGGTGACATTTCTCTCCAAGCCTGATCAGTGCATCATGTGCTTTTCTGGTAAAAACTCTTCTGTGAATCCTTCATCAAAGTACTATCCTCCTGTGAGCACTCCACATCACATATCTTATCATCAGCTAGTGTGCCTTCAACGTTGTGGGGACTCCCTTCATGTAACGGCTATAATAAAGATATAGAAAAGCCACAAGACTGCGCAGGTATTGTTTCTAACTGAAAGCTCTAGAAGGATGTCCAAAAGCATCATCTTTAGACAAGCCTTGAAGGAAAGATATTCCTTCTTCACGTATACAGTCTGAATGTCATGTAGCAGGCCGTGCACTCTTGAGCATTACCCAAGGGCCCTGGGGTTCTGGAATGATGTACCAGCAAAGGTTTTGGTTTACATGAGCCTCACAGTTACCAGCTAAAAGCAGGATTAGTTTATCTTTAGATGCATTATGTCCTGGAACTTTTTTCTTATCTTCTGAAATAGATGTAACAGATGGCGTGTTTTCTTTAAAAAAAAAAAAAGCTTAGGTTCAGCAAGATTGGAAATTTGCTCTGTGATAAAAACACCTTCAGGAGTGGCTGTGGTTCACTGGGGGGGATGCTGCCGCCTCACTGAGAACAGAAGTTGCTTCACCTGCTCTCTTCAAAGTGTGTTTACGTGGTTCTTAAATCTTGAACCTTCCAGTCTTGCTTTAAAAGGAATTCTTCACCAAATCCTCCCTCTGCTCCATCACTCTCCAGCTCTCCCAAGGCATCTAAGCTGCCCATTGTAGCTGCACGTGCTCAGTGGCATTGCGCTGACCAGCCGTGCACCCTCCATACAAGAATTTCACTGGCTTTATAAGTGTAGCACGCCACACGCAAGAACACCATGAAACTTTGTGGAACCAACACATTTTTTGTAAGTTCTATTTTGTCACCCAGTGCAAAAAACCATACACAAAGGGGGAACACGTGTTTGGCCAAGATTCTTTTATATGATCACCTTTCTCAATACATTATCACTTTTTTTTCTTCTCCTTCTTCTAAGAAAGGGGATTTCCTAGGTCTTTAAAACTCACCTACTTTCTTCATAGGTTTTTCCACTTCCATAGCAGACATTTTTACTTAATAAAGCAGAGGAAATGATGTGACCATCCACCACACATCTAAACAGCACAGGCATTGGGCAGTCAGTCAGCTAAGACCAGCACACGCTGTGTGCTCCAGACACTACTTGAGTGATTTTGCTGCAGACTCACAGACTCATTGTTTTATTTATTTATTTATTTATGGATAGCCAATAGGGTATACCATCTTTTTGCAAAATTGTTACAGCAAATATTCAGATAGTGGGGGTTAAGATGGGCAGACACCTCTGTTCTTCTCCCACAACAGACTTTTGAGTTCAAATGGGGGGGACCCTCCCTAGGATGAAGGTTTGAGCTTTGCGCAGTGGCAGTATCGTAGCCAATGAGGTTTATCCGAGGCGCAATTATTGCTAATTGAAAACTTTTCCTAGGATGAAGGTTTGAGTCTCAGAGACATGGCCACCACACACCACCACCACAAAGTGCGAGTAGAGGAATTGACCCAAGAGCTCTTGGTCCTGGGTTTAGTGCCTTTACAAGATCTCCACAGCTGAAGTGACACCAGCCTAGAAAAGCATGTGAAATCAGAAATACAGCACAAATGACTTTCAGTCACTTCCAGCCATGTGGATTCGTTTTGGGGGGCAAGAGGAAGCACCATGTCGTAAGAACCACCGTACCTACCATCTGTTAAAGCAGTTCTTTGTGCAGTTGATTATTTATGATGATTCTCTTAGCTTCCATTTTAGAGGCTGACATTTTCTGACTCCATTCCCAAACTGAGGGGAAATAGTGACATCTGTGCCTCTACTGTCCTAAGATCCCCTGTAAGGAGATTCAGTTCTAGAAAGTAATTAGTTCATAACATTATGCTTGGCAGGGATTAAACCAACATGAATGGGGCATGGTTTTAGGCAGGTTTGCCAGGGTGGAGTTGGTTAGGTTTCTCTTCCTTTCTGAACATACTACACAGGTCTGAAAAGGCACTGTTCCTTGTGGAATAAAATTTTGCCTTTTTTTCCCCTTATTGTTAAAGCCTTTTTGTTGTTTTCTTAAGTTACTGTTTACTTGAATGTGATTTTTAGCTTAGTTTTCCCTTTGTTGGGGAGTACATGGGTTAAAAATAAATGAGGTGTCTTCTCCCCACCACCCACCTTCCATTTACGATTTTACCAACTGAATTGAATTTTTAAAAATCTGATTACAGACTCCAGTAATTAAACCATGGATGTTAACTTCCTTAAAACTGAGGTCCATTTCTAAAATTGAGAGATATTTAAACCCCTCAATTTGGGGCACCTGGGTGGCTTAGTCGGTTAAGCATCCGACTCTTGATTTCAGCTCAGGTTGTGATCTCATGGGTCATGGGGTCGAGCCCAATGTTGGGCTCTGCGCCTAGCAGGGAGTCTGCTTGAGTTTCTGCCCCTCCCCCCATTCTTGCTGTCACTGTGTGTGTGTGTCTCTCTCTCTCTAAAATAAATAAATAATCTTTGAAAAATAAAACCTCCCAATTTATCTTAAATCTTTGCTTTCTTATATAGAAGCTGAAAAAACTTAGTCTTTCTGCCATTTTGTGAAATACAGGGATGCCTTAAGAATACATAATATGAAAACACATCTGTGAAACTGTTAAACTGAGGTATTTTTTATTTCAAAGTAATTCACTGTTTAAGTGAAAGGTTGCAAGCATTTAAGATTTTTTAGAATCTTTACATTTTCAGAAATAATATTACACAGGTAGATAGTCTTCTTCCTAACTTTTATTTATTTTTTCAAGATTTATTTATTTATTTTAGAGAGTGGAGGGTGTTGAGAGAGAATCTCAAGCAGACTCCCTGCTGAGCACAGAGCCCAACATGGGGCTCGATCACACGACCCTGAGATCATGACCTGAGCCATAATCAAGAGTCAGATGCTTAACTGACTCCGCCACCCAGGCGCCCCCTCTTCCTAACTTTTAAATGTCACATTCTGATAAAGTAGAAAAAGTGGAATCAGAAAAACCTGGGTCCAAATTCCAAGTCTACACTAGGGAAACAGTGGTGACCTTGGGAGCCTCGCCTCTGAACCTTATTTGCTCACCTGTCAAATGGGGATAATTACTACCTGCTGAGAGTTTTGCAAACTAAATGAAATGACCAAGGAATGGTTCTAGCACATCTCGGGTATACTTTTTTCCCTTTCAGAGAAACCAAAAGTGTAAGCACTGCCATAATTGTTTTCTCTAGAAGATGCATAGCCAATTTTTATGCCCTGGTAGGTGACACAGTGGAGAAGGAGGTGCCAGAAGAAGAGTTTGAGGTAAAGTAAAGAGAGCTCTGGAGACAGAGTTGTAGTAAGCACCTGTACAAAGCGAGCCAGATACAGCCATTGTGTGTGTGTGTGTGTGTGTGTGTGTGTGTGTGTGTGTGTGTGTGTTTAAATAATGTTTATTGGGTTTTCCTGGTGATAGGAGTAATTCATGAATGCTCTCAAGGCTTTGGGTGGATCATTTTAGACTTTCAAGTCAGTAATAGTGAGGCAAACTTTATGACCTTGCTGTGAAGAGTGGTCAGTCATTGCGTGAGTGTTGGTGAGGACTAGACGTGTGCCCAGGGCAGCACCAGGGGATGAGATGAAGAGGCACGTTGTGGGTGGGCTGCCAGGGAGAACTCTTCTGGGAAGCAGAGTTGGTGCCAATGCTGAATCTCCTGGTCCTTCAGTTAGCATTTCGCTGGTATGATAAAAGAAACTTAATGGAAGGAGTCTTGGGTCATAATTCTGCAAAACTGAGCAACATTGCCATCTATTGGTGTTATTTCAATGCTTAATT